GTTTGCGTTTGTCCCCATGAGAAAGGGACCCAAATTGTTCTTGTGCGACTTTTTCCAACTCCTTCAGCAGAGTTCCAAATTACAGGCTTTAATAATTCCAGCTAGTTAAGCATTTTTTGGTCCTCATACTGAACAGAAAGCACGAGTATGACGGTTGGATTCTGAGCAGCAATTATTACGAATGTTTATAATGCTTGTCATGAGCAACAGTAAGATCATTTACGGTTTTTCATTATTAGGTAGCAACATTTTGTGACTTTGGTCGTTGTGCTTAACTGGGAAATTTTGTTAGTAACATTGAAATATTCAAGCTCAAATTATCCAAAGGTTGGAGTGTACATTTTATTTTGGATAGGACATTTGTCTTTTGCAAACAAACTACTTACTTAGTACATTGGGGAGACCTTAAAAGGTATGGAAAATTACTACCCACTACCCCACTCACCCACCTCCATTTTGGGCCAAATGAGGGGTGTGTGTCCTGGGAGAAGGGGTGGGGATCAAGGAGAGGGAGTTGGTAGGAGTTAGGTAGAGAGTAGTGGCTATTGACCAACTGACATGGCAGTGTCTCGATCTTTTAATAAATGATACAGCTAAACGGGCTGTTTCCCATTTCTGTCTGCAAGAATAGCAATGAAATCCAGACTTGTCCCTTGAGGTGGTGTAGACCAGGACTTTCCAGCTCATGTGTTCCAGCCCATATGAGGTCATCCTCATATGCCGATATATTGATCCCCTCATCTCTCAGTTCAGCTGCCTGGGGCCCAGAGAACAGAGTCCAGGGTGGGCCCTCTTAGGCAGTGAGCATCCTATCCATTTACCCTGGTGTTTTAGATGAACATTTTAATTTTGTGTCTGTGCCATTGCAGAAAAAACTTTGGGTGGTATGCAAATAGCAAATCCTTATGTCTACTTTTTATAAATGTTGACAAACTTGGAAACATTGGCAAAATCTTTCTTTTAGAATAAGGGAAACATGTTCAGGGCACATTCTTCAGCTTGGATATATCGTTTCTTCTTGAGATGAGCCAAACTCAACTTTGCAAACTGAACAAAGTTCCACGAAACAAAACAGGCTTTCCTCTCTGATGCCTTCTCTCGGTATTGTACTTGTTTCCTAGCTGCTCCCCTAACCTTTCTTCTTTCCCACCTTCTGCCTCTGACATTCCCTTGTATTTCTCATGAGGACCCAGTGTACGTCTCCCTCCTTTTTCTTTTTTTGTTTTTCTTCCCGGGGCGGGGGGGGGGGGTGGGTTCTGGCCTGTATTTGTCCCCACAGCTCAGCTGAAAATATCCTTAAGACTCTCTGTCAAATCAAGTCTCTCCCTCTACTGTTTTTTCTCAGAGACTTCTCTGAAGACCATGTCCAAGTTGGCATCTTTTGCCCTTATGTCCCTTCCAAGGTCCAAAGGGTGTTCTCTACAATTACCTGCTAGCCATTCACACTTAGATTTTCCTTCAGTAGCATAAACTCAAGACGTTTAAAAGCAGTCCTTCACTTTTGCTTCTCTTCTACTTGTCAGCCCTTGGCTAATGTCACCACCTGCAACGTCAACTTTTGGTTGTCTAGATTCCCTAATGTTTAATTATGTGACATGTCCCATCGATCCAGCCTCTACAATGTGTCCCATTCATTCCTTTCCATTTCATTATTTATCCCACCAGCTGAATACACATTCTATCTCCCACCCAGGTTTTTGAACTAGTCACCTCACTGGCCTCCCTTCCTCCATGCCACTCATCTTCCAATCTTCCCTTTGTGTGGTTCCAGAAGGGTCTTTCCAGCTCATAGTTTCCCTGTGGACCCACGTAGTCTACTAAACCAAGCATATATTTTCCAGCCTGGCATTTTAGATTTTGTTTCAGTGTGAACTCAGTTTAACTTCACAGGCATACCTACCATAGCTCTAATGAAAACATTTACTAGCACCCACTCAATGCCAAACAATGGGCGGGTCAGTAATAAAATGATGAGTGTAGTGGGTGTACAGGCAGGAATAAGTTGTATCCGTAAGGTGCACAGGGGATCAGAATTTATCAAGAGAGACTTAACCTGGTCAATTAAGTCTGGGAAAATGTCCCAGAGAGAACCATGCCTGTACAAATAACAGGAAATTATTTTTGAATGCTGTAGAAAAGCCAAGACAAACTAGACCCATTAAAAGTGAAGTTGACGTGTAAGTGAGGGAAAAAGCTCGTGCACTAGTTCACAGACTCACACACCTCTTCTCTGTTCTTTAAACAGTAGCTCGTTCCTACCTCAGGGACTTTGCACTTGTTTCTAATGATCTTGCTCATCAGGATCTCATGGCAGGCTCCTTCATGTTCTTCTCAAATTCACCTGCCCCTGACCACCTTATCTAAACTAGTCCCCAGTTTATCATTCTCTCTTACAACACCCTGTTTATGTGTTTGTGGGTAATCATCTTGCTTTTTCTTCATTTTACTTGTTTATTGACTGTCTTCTCCAGTAGAATGTAAAATTCAAAAGACCAGTCTACCCACTCTTGATCACATCACCTCTCCAATGCCTGACGCATGGTAGGTGCTCAATAAGTATTGCTAAATGAAAGCGAGTGATGAAAATAAATGTATATGAATAAGTGAAAAACAAAGAAAAATAAATATGTGCATGGTGTTTATTGTTTTGAGTTAATAATTTTGCAGAAAGTTACATGCATTATATTCCCTTATAGGAAAATTCCCTTAAAATCCCTTCAAAGATGAAGCTGTTCCACGATGGTCACCAATTCTTTACTGAAGAAGAGGAATGTACTTTGTGGTTTGCATAATCTGAACCTTATTTTTCAAAGTAAATTCCTGGAAATTTTCTTTGAAGCACATGCAAAAATCAGATGGACTAATAGACAGATAGGTAGACGATAGGAATGAAATGAGGTGAGTTTTATAAAATGTTAATGTTGAATTTAGGTGATAGATACTCAGATGTTCACTGTAAGATTCTCTCCAACATCTCTATTTGTAAAATTCCGTAAACACTGTTGGGAAAGAAAAAGTACCTGAATATATTCCTGCCATCATGAGGTTTTATATTCGATCTTTTATACTTTCTGCATCTTTAAAGTTGATGATTAGCATGGAAATAGTCAAGAGAGTCCTTTATAATGTCCTGATGAAACAACAAATGGTATACTTATATCTGGTATGATTTTCCTTTTTTTAAAGTTTATATATCTATTTATTTATTTATTGTGAGAGAGAGCACACATGTACGGGTGCACACGTGAGTGAGTGAGTGAGTGAGTGAGTGAGAGAATCCCAGGAGGCACCACACTGTCAGCACAGAGCCCAACACAAGGGTCGATGTCACAACCATAAGATCATGACCTGAGCCAAAATGAAGAGTCAGGCGCTTAACTGACTGAGCCACTGAGGCGCCCCTGGTAGGATTTTCAACAGTGAGGCTTGTGCTGTCACCCAGTTAACCAGAGGTCGGCATAAGTAGAACCTCTGGCTCTCTGCTATCCCTCCAGCCTGAGATCTGGCGATTTTGGCTGGTCCCAGGGGATTTAACAGCCAAATGTGGAAAGTGCCTCAAGGGTGTTACTTGTCGCAACAGGAGAAATCATTTTCTGTCTTGTGACTCATAAGCTTCTCACTTGGTGAAAGGTGCCACTGTCATTATAAAAATGATTAAGTGTCTGTCCATCTTGTGTTTCTGTGTGACTCTATGGCCCTCTTGCTTCTCGTGGGTCTGCGATTGGAGGAACCTCATTATAACATAATAGCAATAATAAGCATCAGAATGGGTGTTCTCAGCTTATGAAACTCTTCCGTTTGCCTTACTCCTTTGTCCCAGTCACGCTATGATATGGATAGGCCAGCTAATACTAGGCACACCTGTTACACAGATTGAGGTAGGAGGGTATAAATGACCTGGCCAATTTCGCTGTAGGGTGTTAAGGAGATGAAATTAGGATCTGGGTTCTGACTTCTATTCCAGTCACTCTTAATGCCCAACTGACAGTGCGTGCAAGTTCTTACTGCCTCATTTTACCAAGAAGAATGGTGCTTTTGAGGAAATAGGGTTTCAGGGAAGACCATATGAAGACAGCCACAGGGAAGACGAATTTTCCTTTGGCTGAATTCATGTTAAATCACCACAAAATCTCAAATCCGTTTCTTCATCCTGTTCCTCTACAGCTGATGCAGTGTCTATCATTTCTGAAAGCTTCCATCTCAGCTTGCCCACTCCCAAGTGAAATTTTTTATGAGCAGGATACTCTTTTAGGACTGGTGAGTAGAAGTGAGTCAATAGGAATCTTTCTTTCTTTCTTCCTTCCTTCCTTCCTTCGTTTCTTTTTCTCTCTTTCTGTATATTTTACTTTCTTTCTTCAATGTTTATTTATTTTTGAGAGAGAGAGAGAGAGCGAGAGAGAGAGTGCGAGCAGGGGAGGGGCATAGAGAGAGGGAGACACAGCAGGTTCCAGACTCTGAGCTGTCAGCACAGAGCCCGATGTGGGGCTCAGACTCACAAACTGTGACATCATGACCTGAGCCAAAGTTGGATGCTTAACCGACTGAGCCACCCAGGCACCTTACCAGGAATCCTTTCTGACTTGGTGCTGTGCCTGTCATATGCTCCTCTGGCCTTCCCTTCCCCAGGGCACCTGTTCCTGCTGAGGTGAAAAGATAACTATCTTAATGCTTATTCCATCACCTCCTGGCAAGTGATTGAAATTATTCCAGAAATGCCCACTGTCGGTATCTACTAATGTCACTTAATTCCCCTTTGCTTTGAATTCCTTGACTTGGAAATTAATGAAGGTTGACTCTGGAGTCAGGCATCACTGCGTCTGAAACTACTCCAGCCATGTCCCATCTGTAACATCAGGCAAGTTGTTTGGCCTGTCTAAGCCCCAAGTTTTTCTTCTATAAAGTGAGATTAATTATAGGACTTGCCCCAAGGGGCTATTATGAAGATTAAATGGAATAATGTCTACAAAGGGGGTAGCTCAGTACTTACTGCTTAGTAGATGTTATGTTTTGATGATAATTTTAATAATTCAGAGTTAGAATATAGAAATGCTTTTCATATATATGACATTTTTTTCCTTTCTATCAAATTAGAAAGAATTACATTCACATACTTGTCTTCCTCCTTTGCCTCCCTCTCTTCCTCCCTCCCTCCCTCCCTTCCTTCCACACATCTTTGTTATGTGTCTCCAACAGCTCAGACACTCCCTACTCTCATGGATATTGCAGGCTGGGGTAGAAGACAAACAAATTAATGAATCACACAAACGAATGTACAATTTTACCTGTAGTAATTGTTACAGAGTGTATAACAATAGGCCTTGACTTACAATAGGCCTTTAGTGTGGAGGCTGCCCTGAGATCAGCAGGTGAGTGGCAGGTAACCAGGAGAGAAGAAGTGAGGGCAGGGAGAGTGACAGAGGGGTTCAGACACTGGGCTTAGGGGCAAAGACCCTGTAGCAGAGCAAGTGTCATGACTGGAAGAAGCCACTGGGGCCGAAGCAGAGGGAACAAGGGCCAGTCTGGTACAAGGTAGGGGAGGGTATATGGGGAGGGGCCAATGCAGGCAAAGTCTGTTGGCCATCTGAGGGTTGGCTCTTTATTCCAAGAGCCATGAAAACCCATTGAACAGTTTCAGGTAAGGCTGTAACTCAATTCTCAGGAGTCATTTAGTTTAAAGACGCAGAAGTGTGGCCCAGCAAGCCACCTTCATTCAAGCGGCCATAGAGCAGAGAGGACAGAAATGAAATACCCTGAGGACTGACCATCTAGATTCTCCCTCAGTGCTCAGTGTTGTGGGAAGCTGTGAACGTGACAGGCCTTGGTTCTCCTTCTCCAGGAGGCTTGTTGAACAGGTAATAAAATGTAGTCACATTCCTCACCAAGTGCAAATACCTGTCAGCACAGGGTGAGAGAGAGAAATCAGTTGAGATAGTTCATGAAAATGACTACTATACTGACTTGGGACCCCCTAAGCAGGTTAAAGTTTATCCACCATAAATTTTTATTCTTACCTAGCAACTTGCTTGAACTAATTTCACATGTTTTCCCTACAAAATGTGTCAAAATCTCCCAAGATGTGTTCAGTCCCACAGTAACCAACTCCATTCAGGCAACTGCCAAGTGGTCTGGTCTCAACACAGAGAGGGATGCCTTTGAGTTACTGAGTCTGTCCAGGGAGAAGTCAACTTGCTATTTCTAGTGACCAGGAGGAGAAACAGGACTTGAGCACCTCGGGGGGTTGGACCAGACGAGGCAGAGAAAACAACCACTGTCCCCCACACCCACTTGCAGCCCTGATTTCCAGCAGGAGAAATCACTTATAGATCCACCAGTAGGTGGAATATGGGTTATGGCCATATCCATTAGGGCTTATATTACAAAGAATCATAAAACCAATAAAGCCTTTCTTCCTTTCTATCCTCTGCTTAACTTCCCTGTTCAATATTATTACCATTTCAATGCTCCTCCCCCCCCCAACCAGTTCTTGCTTTCCTGGCTTTGACATACATGGTTAACTGCCCTGGACCTGTGAGTCACTTCACATACTGTCCTTCATTGCCCCATCTTGTACCTCTCTGGCCCCTGCTCCCTCTGCTTCAGCACCAGTGGCTTCTTTCAAGTCATAACACTCACTTCTGCCACAGGATCTGTGCTCCTGAACCTACCTGGGGATTTAATTAAGAACAAAGAAAAAGAGTATTTTGCAGGGTTTGGAGTAAGGGAATGAAATGCTTCCTGGTAGCATTTCAGGCAACAGATAAATCCCTAATGCTGACTTGCCTGGAGCCGCAGATGGGAGTTTATACTGTTTGCTTTCCCTCCTCACAGCTAGGGTGAGCTCCAACATGACCCCATGAACAGATGAGCAAAAGCACCAAAGCCAGACATCAGTATGGTCTTGAGAGTGTCCACTCATCCTTCTAGCATTGAAACTCTCTTATCTTAAGAAATGCATAACTCGGTGCTAAGCTTGGAAAATGCCTTGACACAGCCTGGGGCCTACATTACAGAAAACAGATCTCTTTCCTTCATCAGAGTTACTCAATAACAAGGCACAGTATTTCCGCTCTTGTGGGTAGGAATTAGGCAAATCAGTCTTATACTCAGGACCGGTTTATGCTTTAGCAGAAGGCCAGTAATGCTAAAATACGGAAGCTTAACCTCCTGTGTCAGTGGATATTGGGCCTGGATGTAGGGAGCTCCTTAAGAGATTTTATAAGTGGAAGAAAAATACATACACACCATAATTACACATATGCCATTACAATAAGAAAAATCCAAAGTGAAGATTGAAACATTTAAGGAGACTTTAATGTTAATTATGTTTAATTTTTAGAGGAAAAAAGAGGCTCACACATTTAAGTAAGGAATAAGCAAAAATTTGTATGGTCAGCAGAAATTTCTTAAATACACCATTCTCTTCTAAGGGCAACCGTGCTGTTTTCCCAAGTGTCCATCAGAGGTCTCTCTTTTGTCCCACTTCTTCTTATACCCAGTTTCTCAGTAAGACTTTTGCCTGGTTCCCTTGCATACGCCCCAGTGATGGAGATGATCTGATTAGGTCTATTAGTAGGACTAAGTTCAAGATTCTATAGAAGAAATAAAGAAAATTGGCTCCCATTTCCCTTTTGGCACCCTAACCGTCTTGTGTTTCCATTGCTTTGCAATTGCAGAGAAAACCTTCAGGGAAGGGGTTATCATGTGCCCTTGGGATTCACACTCCTGGCACCGCAGGTATGCCTATGGCACCAGCAGCTAAGCAGGAAAGAGCTCTTGCACATTCATTAACCCCCTTCAGAGACACAGCTACATGTGTGTCAAGGTTGATGCTCTGCTTCATGTTTCATAGTAAGCATCCATCCAGAGGGTTGCAGATTTCTTCAAGTCCCTGTGGGAGAGGTAAACAAAATCATCAGTGGGTGAGACTTTAATGTAAATGGAGATGCGCCATGGACCACGCACTCCTTTACTTGGCTCAGGGAAATGTTGTCATTTTCAGTTATGGCTGAAAGATGACTTTTCTGTTGCCCAGTGGAGGGAAACAAATACACTGCATTGCATGTTAGCAGATGATTTCACATTTCCTTCAGGGAGGGGGTTCAGTTTTTCTTTCATTTTATTCTTTTTTGTACCCCAGACTATCAACAGTCCTTTTCCCTAGCATTAAAAAAGAGCTTCTCTGAATCTCTGTAAGATAAAGCATATACCTCTATACCAACCCATCCTATTACACACTCATCATATTTTACAATGTGAAAGGTGTTTTTCTAGGCTCTGGGGATACAGCAGTGAGTAGGAGCTACATGAGTCCCACCTATGTGGAGTTCCTCGTCTAGCTTGGGAGACACGAATTAAATAATTTATTACCCACGATGTTATTTGTTCATGATTGTGATAAAGCTCACAAGTGAAGAGAAGCTTGTGCTAGAGCACCTGCAAAAGCAGGTGACAGGTTGAGTCCTGGGGTTGAGGAAAGACCAAGATGAGGAAAAGGTATTTATGAGCCTTGGAGAAGGGATGGAAATCGACAAGGTTTTATGAGGGGAGGCCATGGACTGGAAGAACATTCTAGGCAGAAGATAAGGGGACAAAGGACAGGAGATGGCAAGGGACACGGAGTTCTGTAGCAACTGAAGAAGGGCCAGATCTCTGGAGGGCAGAAAAGTAAGATGGGCATGGTGAAGAGTATGTAACTGGAGCACCATCTAACGGTCAGATCAGGCCAGGCCTGGCCTAGTTGGCTTCATTCAAGACACTGGCGATTTTTTTCCTAATTCCAAAAGACAGGGAAACTTACTAAAGTCTGATCATAGGCTGTTAATGTTCTCTGTGGAGCTTTGAATGCACCAAGATGAGTACTGACTTTCAGTTCTGGTGGGTTTCTCTGCTCTTGGTCAGTCACCCCTCCCTGATCCATACAGTTATGTCCCTAGACCCTGTAGGCATTTACTTTGCAACTCTGGACCATGATTTGAGAGTCCCTCCCAGCACATAAATTCTAAAGCAGGTCAAGGTTCTGTAGGGGATACAGAGTTAAATAACATGCAGCCCTGGTTTTAAGAAGCTTGATACTTAATAGTAGGGTAGCAAGGCATTTTCACTAAGAAGTGCCCACAAGGCAGTAGGTAAATGGTAAGAATTATTTTTTAACATTGCATTGTTGATGTTCCCTGAAGGGTCTCATGTCCATGCTGGGCATACAGATGTCCCTTAATAGCTTATGGGTAAGTAATTCACAAGCCAGTGAATAGTGTGGAGACAAGCAGTGAGGGGGAGATGAGAGCTACGAGCTGAGAGACTCTGTAAATACCTGGTGATATCTCCAAATGCTTTCAACAGGGGCTTGTTCACATACTGCAATCCATGCTTGGCACACAGCGACCTCACCAAGGGTGCCACCTTGTGATAATTATGGCTTGGCATTGTGGGAAACAGACTAGGGAAACAGATACAGGAGATACAAAACTTAGATCAAAGGAGCAACTTGAAGGAGTTTTTGTTCCCCTATTATTGGATAAAATTCTATTAGCAATGCAGACCTTGACGTTGTACAATACTTCTGTTCCAGGAAGCTCAAAATCTGTTGCCAGAACACTCCAATCTTATCTCTCAACCCTCTGTAAGCCCTGTGGGTGGCTAATGTTTGGGAAGACCTAAGAGAATTACCTCTATCAAATATATTAATTTGACCAAGTCATATGAAAGTATAAGATTTTCTACCATTCTGAATTATCTAGAGAGCTGGAGGGGTGCCTAGCTGACTCAGTCAGTGGAGCATGGAACTCTTGATTTCAGGGTTGTAAGTTCAAGCCCCACACTGAGTGTAGAGATTACTTAGGAATTAATTGCCTAGTGAGCTGGAGAAACCCCCCCTCCAATTCTGTCTCTGTCTCTCTCTGTGGATACCTCTAACTCCTGTACGATAAATAAGTGAGTATTCAGTAAGTTTTAGTCAAGGTGTATGGGGGAAAGTTCTAAGATAGGAATAAGAAGGGAGGAGAGATGGGTTTTATTCAAGGCTTTTAATTACTAGCCAGGTGAACTTTTTAGGTTTTAAACTTTACTTTGATAACATATGAATAATAAGCTTTCTTGCTTTGCCGAGATTTTGAAGGAATACCATGAGAGAAAGGATGAGAAAATCCCATGAATAGGTATAAGAACTTTTTCCTTCTCTATCACAGATACAGCTTAGATGAAGAGGAAAGATGAATAGGAAAGTCTCTTCCTTGAATATTCTGCCGCGATTGACTTTCAAAGTACTATTGTTTTCTCCTTCTTTGGTACATGTGCACATAACTACCTATTGGTAAAGTAGTTCAAATATCATTTGGAAATTGCAGCAGAAACTGGATTTCAGTTGATTGTTTTGTAACCTTGGCTCTAAAGATATAGATACAGGTTGATATTAAAAATAAAAATTAATTTCGACATAACTTTGTTACACAAGTATCATGATTTTTCTTGGGTTTTGCCAACAAACCACATGCAAAGAAAACAACCACCAATTCCTAAGTCCTTGGGAATCTATGAACTGAGTCACTGTTATTTTTCCAAGATTTCCCTCCATTTACTCAATTATTACGCCTTATGCTTTTCTTTCTTCACTTTCTTACCTTTGAAGTTAATAGAATTTAGAGAATTCTGATTCATTTTTTCCCTCCGAAACTCCTAGTCTAGGGCTCTGTTCTGGACTGTATGGAGGGTGGGGGACTGTTATAAGTGACAGCCTTTGCCTTTTATCATGGACTGTTTCTATCACTCACTGGTGCTCAATCTGGAAGTTCAGATGCCCAGTGAACCAGTCATTGAAAAAGGACTGTTCAACATTACAGGTGGCCAAGACCTGAAAAGAAAAAGCTTACATTAGATGTAAATAAGCCCACGTGTCAGATTAAACAAATTAAACCTTTATTTATTCTCTTTAAGTCAATTAGTCAACAAGTATCTATTTTATGTAAGAAACTTTGAAGGATAAGAAAGATACACAGTGGGGACCCTGGTGGCTCAGCGCATTAAGTGTGCAACTCTTGATTTCAGCTCAGGTCATGATCTCGCGGTTCATGAGTTTAAACCCCTGGTCAAGCTCTGCACTGACAGTGAGAAGCCTGCTTGGTATTCACTCTTTGTCCCCCCCCCCCCCGCCCACCCACACTGTTTCTCTCTGTGTCTCAAAAAATAAACGTTAAAAAAAAAAAAAAAAGCACAGTGTCAGGTCTCAAGGAGCTTATGATTTATATAGGCTTTTAATTATAGCTTTATAATTTAAAAGAAGTGGTAAGAGGGGCCCCTGGGTGGCTCAGTCGGTTGAGCGTCTGACTTCAGCTCAGGTCATGATCTTGTGTTCGTGAGTTCAAGCCCTGCATTGGGCTCTGTGATGACAGCTCGGGGCCTGGAGCCTGCTTCAGATTCTTTGCCTCCTCTCTGCCCCTCCCCTGCTCATACTCTGTCTCTCTCTGTCTCTCAAAAAATAAAGCGTTAAAATTTTTTTTTCAAAAAATAAATAAAAAGATGATAAGACATATTGCTAAGAAGTTTATGCAATGCAATAGATATGAAGAAGTATGTGGGATTTGAGGGGCTAAGTCACCATCAGCCCTTGGATACAGAAAGCTAAGGTGTCACGAATGATGACTGGCAAATGCGAAGTGGGATTGTAGGATTTGGGTAGAGACTGTAGAGATTAGAATACCATTTCCATACAGTACATTTGAAGGACTTCTAAGTGAGAAGTAAGGCAGTTAATTGTTCGACCATGGGTTCTGAGAATAGAAATGCATTTCAGTAGAAGTAGTTTCCTTTGAAATCTAATGTATTTTATTTACACATTTAAAACCATTATCCTGAGAAGGAGTTCATAGGCTTCTCTAGGCTTCCAAGATTTAGAATCTTTATGATTGCCATTTTATTCGCTGCCTTTCTAAGGTTGGGGTTGTCGCTATTTTGAATGTCATTTTTGTGGTTGTTCTATGTCAGCGTTTCTCAGAGTGTACTTCAGAGCACCCCAGGGTTCTCTAAGAACCTTTCAGGAGATCTGCAAAGTCAAAACTACTCCCAGAATACCTCTAATACAGCATTTGCATTTTTCATTTCCAATTTCTTTTTTTTTTTTTAATTTTTTTTCAACGTTTTTATTTATTTTGGGGACAGAGAGAGACAGAGCATGAACGGGGGAGGGGCAGAGAGAGAGGGAGACACAGAATCGGAAACAGG